AGGGATATAGTGATATTATGTATTGTATGCATGTATTTTATAGACGCCAGAAATGGCAGTCGGAAATTCAATATCGAAACAAGGATACCAGCAGTGAAACATTGAACAGGGTTATTATGTAAAATGATTATACCTAATCACCTAATGGGTAAGTAATAGATCTTTCATCGTAAAAGATGATGTCTTGAAAGACAATTTTTACACTTTTGTGACAAAAAATCTCTACTGCGATTTTGTCGAACTTCAAAATAGGCGTGTTTGAATATGGCAAAGATTTTTCGCGAGTGTTCTGATAGCTTTAATCTAGCGGCTAAACTATTGTAGGTACATATTCCTACAAACAAATAAATGAACCATAATTAATAATGCACAAGCAACATAATCAAAGTTACATTGTAATATTAATTAATCCTGTAGCTACCAATAAGTCAAAATCAATACTGCACATCAGCCATGCAGTGCATTAACACTTCGGCTGCCGTAACACGGAATACATTATCGTAGCTTTGTGGGATTAGCGTATGATGTAGTGTACGTATTACATGTATTACCTAGAACAACACTGCCTCTGTGGTGTAGTCAGAACGTAGGTAGATGTAAGAATCCAAAGTCCCTGTTTCTTGTTATTCTTTGCAATTTTAGTTTGTTAAAACTAAACCTGATGGTCTTAGGTCTTAAGTTTAGTCGTTTAAAAACGTATAAAAGGTCTCCTTTTATGTCGTGTACTCGGCAAAATATATTCGTTAGTATAATATGGTACATGATTACACGACGCCAAATTTTCACTTCTTTCTTTGTTTTTTCGTCTACGTAAATATTTACCTTCATCATCCTACGCCAACACCTCGTCTCGAAGACCTTCTGAATGAATCTTGCCTTAGAATACTTAAATAGTTTGATATAAATATTTGGCTGGATGAATGCTTTTTGTGTTTTAGACCTAGGAAACAGCAAGTCAGCATCGAACGTGTTACGGTATTGCGTCCGAAATGGAAACGCAGTAAGCCGGAAAGCCATCACCAGTTGAATTCAAATTTCGTATTAACATTTACAACCATCGCGAATGTATGGGGTGCATATCCGCTGCGAGCGATCTCACGCAAACGGACCGAAGGTTATGTAGATATATGTGTGGTCCCAATGATAGTGGGATTCAAATTTCGTACTAACAGTAATAGCGAATTTTTGGGGTGCATTTCCGCTGTTAGCGGTCTCGCAATCGGACCGAAGATTATGTGGCATTTTAAAATAGCGGGATTAAACTTTGGAGTGGCAAATGGACTATTCTATCTTATGTTGGACGTGCGTGACTGACATTGGCGTTTCATGTGTATGCTGAGCCAGACTGTCCATTTTATTTTTTTACAAATCGCTGTTACTGGGACCACACTTCAACCATCTAGTGCTGAGACAGGCGTGGCATATAACTCGATTATATTAAGGAGACAGTCCAGTTGTGCAGCTCTATTTTATTTGTAGCTGCACCTTGTTGAGATTAGTTCGGCTTATTTTCATAGTTTACAAAAATAAAGAAATCAATAGTAGATCCAATCTATGTTGTCGTATAGTCAAGCTCATACTGTGTTAGACAGTTTTACATTGGAAAATTTCTTATGTTGGACGTATAAGACTGACATCGGCGTTTCAAGTGTATGCTGAGCCAGACTGTCCATTTTCTTTTACAAATCGCTGTTACTGGGACCACACTATAACCATCTAGTGCTGAGACAGGCGTGGCATATAACTCGATTATATTAATGGAGACAGTCCAGTTGTGCAGCTCTATTTTATTTGTAGCTGCACCTTGTTAAATTAACTAATTGCGTTAGTTCGTATGCCAGTAAGAGATATTTCATTTGCTATTTTCTAGGAAGCGTCACGTCTCTCGTTAGATGAATTTATGTAACTCCGGGGTGAATTTTTTAGATAGTAGTGTTTGTTTGTGTGCAAAACGGTCGTTATTTTGTTTGTTAACTATATTTCCGCCTCGTGGTTTCACTCGCAGTTTTTTTCGTTATATAGCGTTATTCTGCCGTGAAAATGACGCTCATCTGTTTTTCTAGGTTATAATTAGTAGATATGACTAAGTACCTACTCTGTTTGTGTAGCTTTCAAAGTTCGCCTACATCCCGGTCAAGCCATTTAAACGTTAAGAGGTAACCTAATACACACAAACCCTAGATTTATGATATTAAGCATGCTATAATATGCAAAAATATATTATTTTATTTTGTAAATCACTGAAAATTAAACCCTTTTACATGTAGAGCACAATTATTAAAGATAATAAGGCCAAATTACCGCCATAGCATCGGAAATAAAATTATTTCCATTTTAAATGATTCTGTGGTTCGGTTTTAATTATCTTATTTTGAACTCGCATGCTCTTTGTAATTTTAATGAGGCATTTATGAAACTATTTTGGACACATTATACCTACCTTAATTAGTATTTTTAGATAGGTAATTCAAAATGTTAAACTACTGTAGCTGATATCATCCTGAATCAACGTACATAAGTAAAAAGCGACCTTTTGCGCCACAGAAGTTTGAGAGTCTCTCAGAACACAGTGTATCACCATAGTGACATGTTGTCAGCCTGTCGCCTAAAATTGCAGTACAAATTGACTCTCAAATCCCTTAGTCGCTTCTTATGACACCTACAAGAAAGATATGAGGTGATGGTATTCTAAGCCAGCATCACACGGCAATCTTTTTAACAATAACAGCCTAACAGCCACAAATCGCAATAGTCCACTGCTGGGCATAGGCCTCTAGGAGGAGGCATAGGGATCAAGGGGGTAAAATCGCTCTATCTGTTGGTACGATCCATTGGTAGGTATCTCTACGTACATAATTTTGATGCCTATGTACCTATGAAGGTTCATTTTGATTCCAAGCAAGGAATTGTATCTGTAATTCGTGAAATTGAGATGGGAAACTTTGGGTTTACTTTAATCTGAAGGAGCGAACCATACCAACGCCTCTGCCTGCAATGAGTTTAACAAAACGTTGCAAAGCGATTAATCATTGATTATTACTGAAATCTCCTGAAATACTTTTTCATACATCTACTTATTTTAAAAAACCGAACCCAACCAATGATCCTCGTTAGTATTACGAAAATTACTGATAGTATATTGCCACTTTTTGCGTTCGTTTATCAATATCCTTTTCGTTAAAATCTTCATTTGCAGTCATTTATAAAATGACCATTTTCCAAACGTTTTCAAACCGATTTTATACTAGTTTATCACGAAAAAATCTGATTTAAAAAAACTGAGCAAAAGCTCAACAAAAGCTGCAAGAATGGCTCCCCAATGCACAGTGCTGCCACTTTTTACGTCCGTCTGTCTAATCCTTTTTGTACACTTACGCTAGATTTGAACCACTGTGCGGCGTTGCATTGTGAACTCGCTTTTTCGTTGCTAGAGCTGTGGTCGTCTATTTTTATCGATTTTACATCATCAGATTTGAAAGTCTGTTATTGGTAGCACATTGGTACAACACTAAAATTATTGTTTAAAATAGGATTATTACCGTGATAATATTTTTGTTGATCCCGATATTTCGGGGCGGTTGCACGCCCCATGGTCACGAGTAGACTGGCAGAAATATCGGGATCAACAAAAATATTATCACGGTAATAATCCTGTTTTAAACAATAATTTTAGTGTTGTGAACAACCGTGAAAGCCTAAAAACTTACATTGGTACAAGCTAAATAACCACTTTATCCCACAATCTGTATAATATTTTGTGTAAAGTCGACACTGGGTAAATAACGATATACGTGATAAATGCCATACAAATAAAAATAAAACTAAAACTAGGCAAAACCAACTGACACCGGCGAAATCACAATGAAATCGCCACCAAGCAAGAAATTGAATTGAATTGATAATATTATATTCTTCACAGTACTTCGGATAGGCTGAACCACTTCATTGTACGTAACAAAGATACTTCCTTGCCTTAAAATCTAGTAGGCGGATGAAACACTTTGTCACAAGGGTTTATTAAACAAGGCACTCTATATGACAAAAATACCATTTAAAATTTTCGATAATTGTGTCTATCGATATTTCGTATATTGCATTATCGATTGACAACACTATCCGTAGCGTTTCGGAGATTTTTCTTTCAATATTTGTAGGTTGTTAAGCTTTCGTAAGATCGAAGTGGTTTTAGCTGGCTTTGTTTTTGATTCTCTACTTTTTCAAAGGGTTAAAGGTTTGATTTAGGAACCTAGCATAGTTATGTTAAGTATATTGCATGGAACTCTAAGTACTGCACATTTCTACTCCGGCCTCTAAAGCAAACATAATGCTATATGTCCGTCCATCCTTTAATAAAATTATTATAGAGGTACTTATCCTAGTGAATAATTACGATAACTATCTGTCCCAGCCAAATAAAGTAAGTACAGGTTGTCTTATGGTTTACCATTTGCAAGGTTTCTCCTTATAAAATTATCCAGTAAAAAAAACTACATCTATTTTACTATCACACTAAGAAAATTGCCAAATAATAAGAGGTACAGATAGTGCAGTTATCTGCAAGCGGTTTGTAAGTAGCATACAAATATTGCGGTCTTTTAAGACCATCCTCGATAAAAGACCAATTCTCATTTGCACAAAAAGGGCAAACTATCTTCTCTATACTATCGCACTAAGCAAATAGCCAAATAAGGGGAGTACAGGAGTCATTTTTGGAGTGCAGTTGTCTGCGAGCGGTCTGTAAGTAGCCTACACTCAGAAGCAACACAGTTTATTTACTTGATGCATACTTACCTAAAAATATTGCGGATTTTTAAGACCATCCTCGATAAAAGACCAATTCTCATTTGCACAAAAAAGGGCAAACTATCTTCTAATCAAATAGCCAAATAAGGATAGTACAGGAGCTCATTTTTGGAGTGCAGTTGTCTGCGAGCGGTCTGTAAGTAGCCTATACTCAGGACGCAGCACCGCTAAGCTCTTTAAGAAAACTTGAAAAATTTCACCGCAGGCTGGATTTGAACCAGCGAACATCGCCATCTGTATTAGCGCCGCCTCTACCAACTGGGCTACAGCGGCTCACTCCAAGCCCGCGAATTAAGCAAGTATATCTTGACCACTAACGCGTGGTAAGCTCATTTCCGCTCATTGCAGTCCACTGCTGGCCAGTGGCCTCCACTAGAGGTTTCCATAGCCATAAGACATAATTACCCATTTTCACCATCCAGTCATAACCAGCCGCCCATCCTTTGTAAGAACAGTAACCGGTCCATCTGGCCAGAGGACATCCTAAGCTACGCTTGCTGAGACTGCTAATCTCACGGTCGACCATTTGCAAGGTATCTCCTTATATAAAAGATCCAGTCAAAATAAAACTACCTCCATTTTACTATCGAAAACTGGCAAATAATGGGAGTACGGATACTGCAGCTACTTACAAGCAGCGGTCTGTAAAATATTGCGGATTTTTAAGACCATCCTCGATAAAAGACCAATTCTCATTTGCACAAAAAGGGGCAAACTATCTTCTCTATACTATCGCACCAAGCAAATAGCCAAATAAGGATAGTACAGGAGCTCATATTAGGAGTGTAGTTGTCTGCGAGCGGTCTGTATGTAGCCTACACTCGGAAGCAATACGGCTCATTTACTTGACGCATACAAATACTACGGATTTTTAAGACCATCCCCGATTTAAGACCAAATTCTCATTTGCACGAAAAAGGGCAAACTATCTTCTCTATACTATCGCACTAAGCAAATAGCCAAATAAGGATAGTGGTATAGTACAGGAGCTCATTTTTGGAGTGCAGTTGTCTGCGAGCGGTCTGTAAGTAGCCTACACTCAGAAGCAATACGGCTCATTTACTTGACGCATACAAATACTACGGATTTTAAGACCATCCCCGATAAAAGACCAATTTTCATTTGCACAAAAAGGGCGAACTATCTTCTCCATACTATCGCACTAAGCAAATAGCCAAATAAGGATAGTGGTATAGTACAGGACCTCATTTTTGGAGTGCAGTTGTCTGCGAGCGGTCTGTAAGTAGCCTACACTCAGGACGCAGTACCGCTAAGCTCATTTCGCCCGCTTTGGTTTTATAAAACTGGGTAAATTCCTACACCGACTACGTGGAGGTTGTAAAGCAGTTTGTGTGGATGCGGCAAATACTTGGCATATAACTGATCTAAGATTCCAGAAAGGTTTAAGATTTAGGAAAAGTTAAGGAAAATTACTTCTATAATGTTGGTCACAATATTTTAGAAAACTTATACACATAAGATTAACATTTATTACCTCTTACGTGGCTAAAAAAAGTCTCTACTCAGCATAAGTTACAGGCAGTGATAAGCTGCTTGTAACGCTGGTCTTCCGTGGAACCATGCCCCAATTACCCCATACACCATTATAAATGCATAGTTTTATCAAACCATACCGGTAGCACACCTTGTGAACATGTTAGATTTAAAAAGCAATAACTAATTGCCAAAAACTGGTTTAAGTCTGGTTGGAGTCTTGCGAACTAAGCGACTAAGGGATGAATCCAGGAAATGCTACTAGCAACCACCTGCCGAGGGTAGCGTATAGTAACATGGGAAATACACACCATAGTGTGACCATAGGAGGAAGTTCCACGCCTAGCTGGCAGTTGTATTAATACAGGGATTAGTATAGGGGGACCAGCAAGTTTTGCTAGCAGTGTTATTTTCTTTTTGTAGAAACCTAATGATAAAGTATAGTTTACCTTTATGCCTCATCCAAACGCCCATTAAACGTATTCACACATCCCTCTCTATCCCCTGCTAGTCCGCAAGCCGAATGAAATTTCAGTAATTTGGTAAAGCGAATGCAAGGTACAGTCCCGGGCGGGATTTTCTTACAATCCCTGCTTTGTTTTCAAGTCTATTTGAAGTGGAAACACCAGAATGCCCCGACCTCCCCCGTACTCCGCACTTCGCTGAAAGGTACTGGCAATACTCACAGGTAGAGTGACCATTAAGAAAAAATACTTTAGTTGCACACAAAAGGGAACATTTCACAAAGATGAAGTTAGAACTAGAACTATTTAGCGCACAATTAAGCGGCCTTATCACCAATAAGGAATCTCTTCCAGGTAACCTACAGACAGTTTACGGAGATAATCGTGTGGCTGGCTTCTGCCACTTTGCTTTTCATCGTGTGATTCATTCAGGTAAGTAAGAGAAAGGGATATAAGCGTGATTATGCATGTATTTGAAAGATCTGACACGAGGGTTCACCATGTCGTTTATCGAATTGATATCTCACATGAAAGGAAAAAGAATTCTAGAGTACTTACTTTGGTCTTTTGGACATGGCCACACTGCCAGGTCAGCTTACCTGGTTTTAATGTACTAATAGTATGCGGTCGAAGAGTGGCTTAGTGAATTAGTAATAAAGTCTATTATTGCTTGGGCACTTCTCCCGTTGGTATGGTTAATCCTTCTGAATATTATATCTGTTGGACGGATTATGGAGCTTGTGTTCGTTTGTTTATTGTTATGATTTTCTTCGGTGTTATTTCGGTATTTTATTCTTTAGCGTTTAAACACAAATGCTTCGTTTAAGTGTTTGCATTCTGTTTTACAACATTAGTTGTTCATTTTCATCCGCTATGCAGTTCATGAAATAAAAATTTACTATTCTTTTGCAAAAATAAATAACTAATTAGGTACCTTTTACGGTTGCAAAAATCGAAATACCAAAAAGGACTCTATCAAATGTATCTATGGGAACTAAAAGATGGTTTGGATAAACCTTCTGAACATCTAGGACAAAAGATGTTTGACAGAGTCAAATAATAATTATTTTACGTTACTGTACCTACTCCCATAGACAAAGAATAGATAGGTAACTTTTCTATGCAGGCAAAACCATACGACAAAATACTTGCTAGATGTATTTAATTGAATAAGTAAATAAAATAAATTATGCATAGATAATTTACATGCGTGCAATGTTGTCCATGCATACATAGTTTGGTCAATAATAGAAATTGATGATATGGTATTATGCAAATTTAATTAGTGCATTGCGATTTACAAAGCCATGGGTTGTGGAAAATAAGATAATGTTGAATTTTTATATTCTTATTGTACTGTACAGGATGTCTAGTCGATGAACTATACGATAATACCTAGCATCATAAGTAGTTTAAGCCGTCTGTCCCGGTTGCTGTCTATGGTGGCGGTCGTTAAACAACCATGTCAGAGGCCTGCTACTTGCAGTAGGCGGTTGAAAAACTCTGATACCAGGGTACATCGGGTCGTTGAACGACTTGGTGACACACACGTAGAGAGGGAGATAAGTTGTTTTTAAATCACCTTTTACGGTACCTTCAGATAGGTTACTGAGGTGATGCTATTCTAAGCCGGCACCACACGGCACAACCAAATAGATATGTACCTAGGTAAACAACAATAGTTTTCGCATTACACCAAATATCTACAAAACACAAGGACTTTCTCTTAACCCACTTAACCGATGACGTTATAGGTACATAATGCTTAAGTACCTACCTACTTAGTAACAACCTACAAACTACATTTCAAGTGGAGAATCGGATTTAACTGCCCAGTGTTCATTAACGAATTAAGAAAAAAAATAACCTACACTTCACTCTAAGATCCAAAGATTGTTAGATACTTACTAAAAATACTAACGACTTTTTAAATAACGTTTACGTGAAAAAGAAATATATTAGGATGCTGTTTCAATCACCACGTGCAAGTTTGTCATACATTACATACAAACTATAGATAGATGTGTGCGAATATAAGAGTACAAGATACCTATAAACCTCCTCGTATATAGGGTGCAACAACAACATAGGTCGAAAGGAACACGGAACATTATGTCCAATATCCTTGGAGAAAGTTGTTCCTTATCACCAGCCGATTCTGAGTTTTTGCTAACAGTCACTAGTAAAACACCCTACATACAAGTAGCTCTCCCAAGCATGACTCCACTATTACACCTACCTACACGTGTTCGTAGTGTATGTATCCTTGAACAGTCGGAGAAATAAACCTTGGCCTTTAGTGAAAGGGCACAAGGTTTACAATATCGCCACATGCTGTAATCTAAGCTCGGTGCATTTGTTCAGACATTTTATTTCATAGCATAGCTTAGATAAAGTTGTGACATAGAGTATGTAGCGCAGAGAGGGCAATATAAATCATACCTACTAAACTTTACTGCCCTCTTGCGATGTCGCCACATGCTGTAATTTAAGCTCGGTTTGTTCAGACATTTTATTTCATACCATAGCATAGCTTAGATAAAGTTGTGGGATAGAGTATGTAACACAGAAGGGTCAATCTTCTTTCTTTTCGTGTGGGACACCGAACCGTTCAACGACCCGATGAACACTGGTGTCAGAGTTTTTCATGCGCCTACTGGAAGTAGCAGGCCTCTGACATGGTTGTGTAACGACCGCCATCATAGACAGCAGCCGGGACCGACGGCTTAACGTGCCCATCCGAAGCAAGGAACCATCTTACTCGCGGACAATCAGGTGGTTCAGCCTGCAATGTCCTAACCAGACTGGGAACAAATTCACAAAGTGATAAATATCAACTTCGTGGGTGACCCCACCGGGAATTGAACCCGGAACTTTTGCGTGGCAGGCAGGCATACTAACCACTGCGCCACATTGGCTGTCACAATTTGATGTATGGTATATAGCATTTTGTATCTCAAAATGTGTGAATACTTCGGTAATTGCGGTAGCATAAGATAATACCACAAATAAGGAGACGGCGCCCGGGGCGCGTTTACAGATGGCTCACTCAGTACTAGCAATGATTTTGACGCTTACTGACTTTCACTGGAATGAACTGGAGTCTCAGAGGAACTCAAGGTAACTCAGAAGATGGTTGCCTGCCACGAACCTCTTATATCTTGGATTAAAATTGGCTAAGAATTATATTACTTTCTTGTATCAGGTTTTGCTGTTTTGATATTCTTATTGGCAATCCAGGCTATGTAACAATTGACAATCGCAAAAATTCTAAATAGGGTCGAGTGATCCTTTTATAAACTCTTTATTTTGTGA